TTTGACCTCGCTGATGCTGTATCGTGCCCTGTTCACTACTTCTTCTTGTGTTTGTGTTAGGAAACCGAAAATCCATCTGCCTACCTTCCCCATAATGCCCATGGCCTTCATTTTGTGCGCGCTACCACTTCATGATCGCATTTGTCAAACGCCTTTGCAAAATCTGTGTAAATCACATCTGCGTTTTGGTCGTCTTCCAGTGCCTCCGTAATTCTGTCATAATGGTTCAGCAGCTGAGAGAGACACGATCGTCCTGCTCTAAAACCATGCTGGTTCGGGTTATGTTGGTTGTGTTGGTCCATGAAATTTGTAACCTGCCATCTCATCACTATTTCGAAGATTTTTATGATGAGAGAGGTTAGGGCTACTGGTCTGTAATTTTTAGCTAGTGCTCTACTACCTCCCTTATGCAAAGGAGCTATGTCTGCACTGTTTAAGGCCTCCGGTATTTCACCTAGATATAAGTTCTTTCTCCAAAGAATACTGAGGGCTCGTGCAAGTGGTACTTTGCACTTCTTTATAAATAAAGCATTCCATGAATCTGGTCCAGGTGTTGAGTGAGTGGGCATGTTTTCCATTTCTTTTTTGAAATCTATGAGATTTGTACTAATGTCAGTTAGCTGAACTTGAGTACTGGAAATGAGAAGTACAATGCCTGCACTTTAACCCTATGACGGCTGACAGGCCCTCTCCGAAACTTGTTCTCAGGGTCGGCCAAATTTCAAAAAAAAAAAAAAAAAAAAAAAAAATTCTTATGAAAAGATGGAGAAACTTTTCCTGATCATAATGACACCAAAGGTATGAAATTTGATGGAAAACTTACGGAATTATGCTCTCGCAAAGTTAGTGGTCTCGACGATGTTTATGCATCGGCGATTTTGCCCACTTTGAGCCCTATTTTCGGCCAATTCCAATGTACTAGTCGACAAAAGTCATAACTATTTCGCTAGAACTCCATTTTTTCTATCGAATGAGTACAAGAAACCACCCATTTACCAATTTCAACTATCCAATAAAGTGGTCAGAATTTAGCAATTTTGTCAATTTCTAAAGAGGGTCCAGAATAAACAAGAAAGACATTCCTGGTACTAAAATAACAAGTTCTCTGTTCATTAGTCACATCCTCAGGCCCCTCTTATATTTCTTTGGCTTTCCACTTTGAATTTTTATTACAAAAAATAGAAGATTTACTGTTATGCAGACTGCTGCATTAGTGTAGAAATTGTATAAATAATATCAGCATACTTGTGAAAGAATATTAGACTCACCAGTTGACGTGTATTGGACGCTTGGCATGATTTGTTTACTTTTGAACTTTGATAAAAATCGAACATTTCTGCTACTTTGCGCTCAATTTCAAGGTACTTTTCATTGTAAAACCAGTCAAAATCATCTCAATTTTTGTAATATGTCTTCCATTCTATAAAATGAGACCAAGAAAAGTAGAATACAACAATAAATACCATACGAAAATACAGTGCAAAGTCGCTGTTTTATTCCAAAAACACAAAGTTTTTTTTTCTCATTATGCACTGTGTGCTGCAGGATTTTTTTTATACTGCGCACACTGACCACAGACCCATTCTTTCATATGTAGGCCTACCAGCTTTCTCTCACCAGATTTGAGGGCACTAGAATTTAGGCGTACTATTACGTCAAAAACCCTGGGTCGTAAGCCGTACTAGTACAGCCGAAACCCTCAAAGGGTTAAAGGAGGGGTTTGGGATATTGGCAGTTAGGAGGGATATGTTATATATCTTTATATATGCTTCTAAACTGTTGTATCTGGGTGCCTCTGCAAAGACAGTGATTATGTATGAGTAAGGTAAAAATGTTGAATGATGATGAACGTATTTTCTTTTTGGGGATTTTTCTACTTTTTGGGTCACCCTGCCTCGGTGGGAGACAGGCGAATTGTTGAAAAAAAAAATACTGTAAAATATACTCTGATCACAACATTCTTGAAGTGCAAACATGCACAAATTCATACGCTGTGACCCTAAGAAATATTCAACAAGAAGGGCTGTTTAATACATTTAGCTTCTGTAAGTGGAGACAAAAACAATCAAAATAAAAAAAAGGAATTATCCCTTCAAAAAGGCTTATAAAATAAGGATCAAATATAGAAAGAGTATGCATAACACTTTAAAGAGAAAAAAATAGTTGCTGAATTTTATAAAAACATTTCACATGACAGAAGTTTCCTCTGCCCAAAGTTGCTTTGTGTTACCCAAATTTGTTGGTACGCTGCCTTCCAACCAACTAGCTGCTGAACTACTCTGAAAGCTACACATCACAACAAAAAGAAAACCTGCACAAATTAATTATTCACGCAGAACAGACATATACATTCATTTCAAACTGAAGAAATGTAAACTGAACAAAAAACCCACTCAACATGGTTAAAACTTGAAAAATCTTCTAGGAACATTATGAATGAGCACTATGGGAATAGAAGACCTAGATAGCTTTTTTTAAAAAACTCAGCACTATAGAAATTTTACAACAGATATTAGCTGTAAAGAGTTTTTATGAGGATAGTGAGGCTCAGGTTAGGGTGTGTAAAAGGGAGAATACTTCCAGGTAAAAGTAGGTCTTAGACAGGGATGTGCAATGTCACCATGGTTGTTTAATATATTTATAGATGGGGTTGTAAAAGAAGTAAATGCTAGGGTGTTGGGGAGAGGGGTGCGATTAAATTATGGGGAATCAAATACAAAATGGGAGTTGACACAGTTACTTTTTGCTGATGATACTGTGATTATGGGAAATTCTAAAGAAAAATTACAAAGGTTAGTGGACGAGTTTGGGAGGGTGTGTAAAGGCAGAAAATTGAAAGTGAATATAGATAAGAGTGATGAGGATATCAAAAGATTTAGATAAAGAAAAACTGGATACCGCAATGGAGAGAGGGAGTATGGAAGAAGTGTATGTTTTCAGATACTTGGGAGTTGACTTGTCAGCGGATGGGTTTATGAAGGACGAGGTTAACCATAGAAATGATGAAGGAAAAAAGGCGAGTGGTACATTGAGGTATCTGTGGAGGCAAAAAACGTCATCCATGGAGGCAAAGAAGGGAATGTACAAGAGTATAGTGGTACCAACACCCGTACATGGGTGTGAAATTTGGGTTGCAAATGCTGAAGCAAGGAGGTGGCTGGAAGCAGTGGAGATGTCCTGTCTAAGGGAATGTGAGGTGTAAATATTATGCAGAGAATTCACAGTGTGGAAATTAGGAGGTGTGGAATTACTAAAAGTATTAGTCAAGAGGGCTGAAGAGGAGTTGTTGAGGTGGTTTGGTCACTTAGAGAGAATGGAACAAAGTAGAATGACTGGGAGAATGTATAAATCTGTAAGGGAAGGAAGGTGGGGTAGGGGTCGTCCTTGAAAAGGTTGGTGGGAGGGGGTAAAGGAGGTTTTGTGGGCGATGGGCTTGGATTTTTAGCAAACGTGCACAAGTGTGTTAGACAGGGGTGAATGGAGACGAATGGTTTATGGGACCTGATGAGCTGTTGGAGTGTGAGTAGAGTAATATTTTGTGAAGGGATTCAGGGAAACCATTTAGCCAGACTTAATTCCTGGAAGTGGGAAGTACAATGCCTGCACTTTAAAGGAGGGGTTTGAGATATTGGCAGTTTGGAGGGACATCTAAACTGTCATATCTGAGCACCTCTGCAAAGACAGTGATTATGTATGAGTGACAGTGAACTTTTGAATGACGAAAGTTTTTTCTTTCTTTTTGGGTCACCCTGCTTTTTTCTTTCTTTTTGGGTCACCCTGCCTGAAGAAGTAAATATTTTCAGATACTTGGGAGTTGACGTGTCGGCGGATGGATTTATGAAGGATGAGGTTAATCATAGAAGTGATGAGGGAAAAAAGGTGAGTGGTGCATTGAGGTATAAGTGGAGTCAAAAAACGTTATCTATGGAGGCAAAGAAGGGAATATATGAAAGTATAGAAGTACCAACACTCTTATATGGGTGTGAAGCTTGGGTGGTAAATGCAGCAGCGAGGAGACGGTTGGAGGCAGTGGAGATGTCCTGTTTAAGGGCAATGTGTGGTGTAAATATTATGCAGAAAATTCGGAGTGTTGAAATTAGGAAAAGGTGTGGAGTTAATAAAAGTATTAGTCAGAGGGCAGAAGAGGGGTTGTTGAGGTGGTTTGGTCATTTCGAGAGAATGGATCAAAGTAGAATGACATGGAAAGCATATAAATCTATAGGGGGAGGAAGGCGAGGTAGGGGTCGTCCTCGAAAGGGTTGGAGAGAGGGGGTAAAGGAGGTTTTGTGGGCAAGGGGCTTGGACTTCCAGCAAGCGTGCGTGAGCGTATTAGATAGGAGTGAATGGAGACGAATGGTACTTGGGACCTGACGATCTGTTGGAGTGTGAGCAGGGTAATATTTAGTGAAGGGATTCAGGGAAACCGGTTATTTTCATATAGTCGGACTTGAGTCCTGGAAATGGGAAGTACAATGCCTGCACTTTAAAGGAGGGGTTTGGGATATTGGCAGTTTGGAGGGATATGTTGTGTATCTTTATACGTATATGCTTCTAAACTGTTGTATTCTGAGCACCTCTGCAAAAACAGTGATTATGTGTGAGTGTGGTGAAATTGTGGAATGATGATGAAAGCATTTTCTTTTTGGGGATTTTCTTTCTTTTTTTGGGTCACCCTGCCTCGGTGGGAGACGGCCAACTTGTTGAAAAAAAAAAAAAAAATTGGCAAATGTAACCATTATAACAAAATAAAATGGAAAGGCAAATAGTGTAGATAAAAATTGTTTTCTAAGAAAGAAATTATAGTGGCAGAAAACAAAACATAATTCAGTTTCCCAAGATTGTCTTGGTCTCATCATCATAAAAGGTTATACCAAAATAAACGTGAAAATAACCTCAGAAGACACTAAAAAACTATAATCAGATATCAAACTGATTATTACATTCAAAAAGTGTAAAATTTCACTATGTAATCTATAATAATATTTAGATAACATACTTACAGGTAATGGACACATCTTTTCATTTATTTTAACAGCAATATTTGGTGGGAAGTTATCTTCTTGCTCACAGGTTGTCTCGAGCAAACAAAACCTCATCTGAACCTAGAAAAATAAGATATATAAGAGGGAAATTAAAAAATACTGTAAATCAATGATTATCTAGCATCCAACATTATCCAGCAGTGTTGTTCAAGTTGTTAAATCTGGAAAAAGGATGATTAACCTGGCAATCACTGGAAAACTACTTTCTCTTTCCACCGAGCTGGAAACAAGGCATTAAAACTTTATTAAAATTTTCAAATATCCAGCATTTAAATTTTTTATTTTCATGCATGAAATATGATTAGCTTGCTGTTCATAGTATCAAAGTTCACAGAAATACAGTGGAACCTCTACTTGCGAGTTTAATCCGTTCCGCAACCTTGCTCGCAACTGGATTTGCTCATTTGCAGAGTCAGTTTTCCTCATTTAAATTATATGAAACGCAATTAATCCATTCGAGTGGAATTCTGTACTTCAATAATTTCCCTAATATCAACTCTACGGCTCATTATCTATCACAATTCATCTAATATGACATAAACAATATAACATAGAAACCTGATATATATTCTAGAATGAATAAAATATGTCATCATGTAACAGGTGGAGGCAGCCACAACCGCTCCCTCTTTGTTGTGGTAAACACTGCCATCTAGTGACGGCATTTTGAAGCCATTTATTATTATAATTACTATTATACAGTACAGACATTATTATTATACAGTGGACCCTCAACTAATGGCGGCATTGTCTAACATCAAAATCAACTAACGGCTCTCTTTGGCGTCAAAGTATTGACTCTACCAACGCCAAAAAACTTGTCTGAAGATTTTAATCCTGAGCGGGCCCAGCCACTCCAAGACTCCGTGTACAGCCAGTGTGCCATTGTTTTATTTTTGGTTGGGGGAAAGTTACCCTGCCTTAGTGGGAGGCAGCCAGCATGTAAAAAAAAAAAAAAAATACAAATTTACAACTCATAAGGGGTATTAACTCCCACATTTAAAAAATTTCAACCATACATTAAAAAATATACCTAACAAAATTTCTCTCATTCTATATTAAAACAGTTTTCAATCTCTAGTCTGAAATGTACTACCACCATTACATCATTCATATTTTTGTGAGCAAATCATTAACTATGAAAAAAACACCAACATGTATGGTATGGTATTAAAAGTTCAAAAAAATTAAATTCTCACCTGAACAGAATAGTCTTGTTTCCCTGGCCGTAGATCTCTAGAATTTGCAATTTTATTGGCTTGATGTGGCGTTAATGAAAATGTGAATGTGGACTCCTGATAGCGTCCTGAACCCTGGGGGGCTAAAAATGTAATTGTATATAAAAATCATTGCAAACATTTGTGTAACAAACAATGCCTATAGTACACTATCTTTCAAAAACCTACCAATCTTTTAAAATATAATGTTGTATATGTATTAGTACTAAATTTTGCACTGAAGGGCTGGTGGGGAATAATATATACACACAGCATAGTACTGTACCTAATGACATTTGTATATTAAACCAATAAGAACGCGAAGGAACAGTTCTAATCTATCCTTACCTCACGTGGGGGGATCTACAACAGCAAATCACCTAAAACCCATTGTAACTCAAAAATATCTGCTATTAGTATTATCACTCAATCAGACTAACCCTTTCCAGGTCCGTGCCGTAGATCTACAGCTTTACGTAAATCTACGCCCTGAGCTCAGCTCACTCTGATAAGCTGTGAGTGGTAAATTTGGGCCTAGATAAGAGAGAATACATCTATGTGGTATGTGTGCACCACATAAAACAAACCCTGCAGCACACGCTGCATAATGAGAAAAAAAACTGAGACCGTAATTTTCGATTAAAACAGCGACTTTGCAGTGTTTTTTGTATGTTTTTTATAGTTGTACAGGTCCTCCATCACAAATCCGGCATCATTGGGACCTGTAGTGTGCCGGATTACTGAGTTTGCCGGATTACAGAGTGGTTAGGTTAGAATACACTTAATAAAATTAACCAACTTGACTTACACAGTTCATTGAACATCCGCAAAAATCGAACATTTCCGCTACTTTGAGCTCAATTTCAAGGTACTTTTCGTCATGAAAGCAATCAAAATCATGTCTATTTCTGTAATATATCTTCCATTCTATCAAATGAGTCCAAAAAATGAGAATACAACCATAAAAACCATACGAAAATATACTGCAAAGAGGTGGCTAATGGCTGAGAAGTGAACTCCCTTATTTATTGTCCGTCTTTTTTATTTTTGTTGTACGTTAAGAAGTGTCTTTCCATCATACACTGCCCAAGTTTCATTGAGATAGCCCAACAAACAACCAAGAAAAAAAAATATTTACCAAAAATCATATATGGCAAGCCCAAGCCAGGTACTGGAAATAAGTCACTTTGTCTGACTTTTCTGGGTTATCCTAGGTTCTCTATACATACACTGCTATGTATGATAATCTATGTAACTGTATTTGTGTATACCTGAATAAACTTATTTACTTCTAGTCTGTCAACTGAGTACAAGAAACCGCCCATTCACTTATTTCAACTACCCAATAAAGTGGTCAGAAATTGGCAATTTGGTCAATTTCACACAAATTTCAACAGATGTCAATTTCAAAATAGGGTCCAGAATAAACAATGCAGACATTCCTGGCAGTAAAATAACATTTTCTCTGTTCATTAGTCACAGCTACAGGCCCCTCTTATATTACTCTTGCTTAACATTTTGAATTTTTATTCACAAAAAAAAAAATAGAAGATTTACTGTTATGCAGACTACTGCATTATTGTAATAATTGTATAAATAATGTCAATCCATTCTTGACTCTGTACTGGAATTTAGACTAGCAGGTGGACAGGTATTGGACGGTGACGTCATTTGTTTGCTCTTGAGCTTCGCTAAAGAATAGAACATTTCCGCTACTGTGAGCGTAATTTCAAAGTACTTTTCATCATGAAAACAATCAAAATCATATCTATTTCTGTAATATATCTTTCATTCTATCAAATGAGACCGAAAAAATGAGAATATAACCATAACAACCATACAAAAATACACCGCTAAGCGGCCGCTAATGGCTGAGAAGTGAACTCCGCTATTTATGGTCTGATTTCTTTAATTTTTGGTGTACGTGAAGAAGTATCTTTCCATCATACATTGCCCAAGTTTGAATAAGATAACCCAACAAACAACTGAGAAAATAATAATAATATAATAATAATAATAATAATAATAATAACAATAATAATAATAATAATAATATCTTTATTTACTACACGTACATGTACAAGGTATACAGGCCTAGCTGACATCAGTGACATACTACTGTATAGGAAGGCACTTGTTATGCTGAGTATTTCAAGAAAATTAGGTCAGTGTCCAAGGATAACACCCACACTAGTCGACTAACACCCAGGTACCCATTTACTGATGGGTAAACATAGACAACAGGTGTAAAGAAACACGCCTAATGTTTCTCCCCTGGCTGGGAATCGAATATTTACCAAAAATCATATATGGCTAACCCAAGCCAGGTACTAAAAATATGCCACGTTGACTTTTTTGGGTTATTCTAGGTTCTCTACACATATGCTGCTGTGTGTGATAATCTATAGAGAGAAAATAACTTTTTTGTTTCAGGTTTATGGTGGAGTACGAGTGTATATCATAGTTAGCCCTGTGCTATACTCCGCTTTCTCTAATACAGTGGACCCCCGCATAACGATGGCATCACATAGCGATTAATCCGCATACCGCTTACTTTAATCGCAAAAATTTTGCCGCGCATACCGATTAAAAACCCGCTCACCGATTTTCGTCCGAGACGCGTCCAATGTGCGCCCTCAGCCAGCCTCACATGTGCCGCCCGTGCCATTGTTTACCAGCCAGCCTCCGCGGTAACATCCAAGCACACACTCGGAATATTTCGTATTATTACAGTGTTTTCGGTGCTGTTTCTGGAAAATAAGTGACCATGGCCCCAAGAAAGCTTCTAGTGCCAACCGTACACCAATAAGGGTGAGAATTCCCATTGAAATGAAGAAAGAGATCATTGATAAGTATGAAAGTGGAGTGCGTATCGCCGACCTAGTCAAGTTGTACAAGAAACCCCAATCAACCATCGCTACTATTGTGGGCACCAGAAAGACAATCAAGGAAGCTGTTCTTGCCAAAGGTTTAACTGTGTTTTCGAAACAAAGATCGCAAGTGATGGAAGATGTTGAGAGACTCTTATTGGTGTGGATAAATGAAAAACAGCTAGCAGGAGATAGCGTCTCTCAAGCGATCATATGTGAAAAGGCTAGGAAGTTGCATGAGGATTTAATTAAAAAAATGCCTGCAACTAGTGATGATGTGAGTGAATTTAGGGCCAGCAAAGGTTGGTTTGAGAGATTTAAGAAGCGTAGTGGCATCCATAGTGTGATAAGGCATGGTGAGGCTGCCAGTTCGGACCACAAAGCGGCTGAAAAATATGTGCAGGAATTCAAGGAGTACATAGACAGTGAAGGACTGAAACCTGAACAAGTGTTTAATTGTGATGAAACAGGCCTGTTCTGGAAGAAAATGCCAAGCAGGACCTACATTACTCAGGAGGAAAAGGCACTCCCAGGACATAAGCCTATGAAAGACAGGCTTACTTTGTTGATGTGTGCCAATGCTAGTGGTGATTGCAAAGTTAAGCCTTTATTAGTGTATCACTCTGAAACTCCCAGAGCGTTCAGGCAAAAGAATGTCCTCAAGGATAATTTGTGTGTGCTGTGGAGGGCAAACAGTAAGGCATGGGTCACTAGGGACTTTTTCTATAACTGGTTACACCATGCATTTGCCCCCAATGTGAAAGATTACCTAACTGAAAAGAAATTAGACCTTAAGTGCCTCCTGGTGTTAGACAATGCCCCTGGTCATCCTACAGACGTGGCAGAGCGACTTTATGGGGACATGAGCTTCATTAAGGTGAAGTTTTTGCCTCCTAATACCACTCCTCTCCTGCAGCCCATGGACCAGCAGGTTATTGCAAACTTCAAAAAACTGTACACAAAAGCTCTGTTTGAAAGGTGCTTTGTAGTGACCTCAGAAACTCAACTGACTCTAAGAGAGTTTTGGAGAGAGCACTTTAATATCCTCAATTGTGTAAAACCTTATAGGTAAGGCTTGGGAGGGAGTGACTAAGAAGACCTTGAACTCTGCTTGGAAGAAACTGTGGCCAGAATGTGTAGACAAAAGGGATTTTGAAGGGTTTGAGGCTAACCCTGAGAATCCTGTGCCAGTTGAGGAATCCATTGTGGCATTGGGAAAGTCATTGGGTTGGAGGTTAGTGGGAGGATGTGGAAGAGTTGGTGGAGGAGGACAATGAAGAACTAACCACTGATGAGCTGATAGATCAACTTCAAGAGCAAGAGGCCAGACCTGGGGAAACTGGTTCAGAGGAGGGGAGAGAGAAATTGAAGAAGTTGCCTACTACAAAGATAAAGGAAAATCTGTGCAAAGTGGCTTGAAGTGCAAACCTTCATGGATGAAAATCACCCTCACACAGCTATTGCAAGCCGTGCTGGTGATTATTAGACTGACAATGTTGTGAAACACTTTAGGCAAGTCATAAAGGAACGAGAGGTACAGGCCACTATGGACAGATATCTTGTGCGAAAGAAGTCCAGTGACTCTGAAGCTGGCCCTAGTGGCATTAAAAGAAGAAGGGAAGTAACCCCAGAAAAGGACTTGCTACCTCAAGTCCTAATGGAAGGGGATTCCCCTTCTAAACACTAACACTCTCTCTCCCCTCCTCCCATCCCATCAATCATCACCAGATCTTCAATAAAAGTAAGTGTCATGTAATTGTGCATGCCTTTTTCAGTTTGTGTGTATTAAAATTAACATTTCATGTGGTAAAAAATTTTTTTTTTTCATACTTTTGGGTGTCTTGCACGGATTAATTTTATTTCCATTATTTCTTATGGGGAAGATTCATTCACATAACGATTATTTCGCATAACAATTACCCCTCTTGCACGGATTAAAATCGTTAACCGGGGGTCCACTGTATAAGCCCCCAAGACAGGGATAGGAGAATGGTATTTGTATACCATAACCTCTTCATAACTCGGTCGAACTGCTCAGTGTTATGCCAAATATTATTCATTCTCGAGTGTTTAACATGTTTTATGTTATTTATATTGTTTCTTATGTCACATTAGATCAATTGTGATAAGCAAATAAGCTGTAGTGTTGATATTAGCGTAATAATAAAGCATATTCTCCTGCTTCATGAGACTAAGCTCAAGACAACCGACAGTGACTTCAAAGCCACCTTATC